GCAGCCAGCCTGAGGCTTCTCTAGCAATATGGCTGTCAGACTACCCCTTAAAAAAACCAGACCACAAACTAAACACCCATTCTGAGCCTCTGGTGTGCCTGTCTGTATGTAAAGGCACAATAATGTGCCATAGCTGAGAAATAGTTAAACTTCCTACAATATACATACAATTCTCTGTCATTATTAAGAGTACAACCCAGGATGCAAGCAATACACCTTCACATAGAAAGCTCTCCATGCACTTTTCAGGCAGACTTAGGGCAGTTTAGAGTATGAACTGTCCATATACTACACTCTGCTGTCACTGAGCCTGATCCTCTCCCTGCTTACTGCTGTGCTAGTTACGAGGAGCTTTGCTAAGGACAATAGCTTTAGCCTGGAATGAAAGTGATGTTGGGCTGTTTACCTGGACAGTGGCTTTGGGAATCCATGCCAATGAGACAAATACTTTCTCCTTGAAATTAAACCCAGCAAAACACACCATCAGGAACGTTGCTATGATTCGCACAACTAGGGCAATGCCTAATGTAGCAACACAGAGCCCTGCAACAAAGACAAACACTTCTTAGTACTTTTGTGCATAGGTGCCTGAGGGGAATAAGCCTCCTAAAACTGTAGCTTTACAGTGGGGTTGGTTTTTTTGTGGTTTTGTGGGGGTTTTTTTGGGGTCAGCTATTGTCTGCTTTGCTTTAGATTTATTTATAGAGATTCTTTGGAAGCTAGTAATGAAAACTGGATAATTAGTGAATGATCTTACCAACAGTTTCAGGCCTAAGAGATGTAACAGATACTTCTGCTCCAATTAAACCAAAAAGAAAAGGTTGAAAGATATTCCATGCAACTGCAACAATTTTTTCTACTTCCCTCTGCAATAAAAACAAAAATAATTTGTAAATTCACAAAAATATGGCCAAGTTGACACATTTAATTAATCAAAGGACAAACTGATAATGTTTCATAAAGATTGTCTAGAATTGCTCCTCCTTCTTTGACCTAATACTAAAAGATTCAGAATCAGTTGCGCACCTTTCGAAGGTCAGAGTGCGTCTAGCTCTGCTAGTAAATAATCTTCTTGCTATCTCAAGATGAGAAATAAAAATCCCTGATGTTTGAACAGTAACAGAGCAGTGTGCAGACAAGAGCAGGAAAATAAAGCATAGTTGATTTTCAATATTTAGGAAGACGTAATTTGAACAGTTTTGCCCTGAAGTTTCTGAGCCTTTGGGAACTGCATGCTTAAACGTGTTCTTCCATTTGTATCTGAGCAGAGCCAGATCCTCAAAAGTTTCAGTCATGACCTAACTCCACTTGCGCTGCACTCAATCAGAGGCCTGTCTCCATGTGAGCAGGAGCAAAGTTAGACTGAGCAAAAAGTGTTGAACTTTCCAGTGCAATGTGCTGTATAAGGGCAAAGCCATCTTTTCTCCTTGTGTTTACACCTAACAATTTTCCTAAAGCAACTGTTGCCAGGATAAACAGGAATCTTCCACTTATGTGAAGAGGTACACGTAGCATATCTAATAACACTTCTTTTATAATTGAGTTCTACAGTAGCAAATGAACCTTCAGGCTGGTGTGTGTGGAAAATACAAGTGCAGTGCTCTGTCACTTGATAATCAATCCAGGGCCTAGACATGTCCTGTCCTTGGTGTTCTTTCTGTGACCGATCCTGCAACATCTCTTGCTCTTCAGTCAATGGAATGGTAGATGACTGCAATACAAAAACTTCTGTAATCTTAAAGAGAACGATGTGAAAATATACAGACCTCTAAACATTTTTCTTTATTTGCCTCATTTCTCCCTGTTACCTCACCCTTTTCTTTTTGGCAAAAAAAAAAAAAAATCCACTTTACAGGTGTTAGCATTATTTCAGTCTGTTTACTGCCCATTATAACTGTTCCAGCAATAGGTAAAATGTTCCTTGTTCTCTGTGGACAGTATTTGCCAAGTGACTTCCACCAGGGACAGTAGGAGGCAGTGGCCTTTGA